CTACCACATTTTGTTAACATTCGCTTACTTATTTAAAAGTTATAGCATGAAAACTATAACAAGCACAAAATGGTTACAATGTCAGTCCCAGGGACCGAGCCCGTGCTGAAAGAGTTAATTTGTCCAATTTGGAATCACAATTAGAGACCTGTGAAAACTGTGTTTCAGGTCTATCTTTTGTTTCCCTCAAGTTACTGCAGAAAGAAATCTTTAGTTTACATAATTTTTATCACAAATTTCTATATATTTTTTTCTTTTAATTTTTTGTAGTTCAAATACTGTTTTTATATAAGTTAACATAATTTTTAAAACTGATTTTAGATTTTCTTACACAGTCTTTAGTATTTTTTCTATAATTACAGTTTGTTCTACTTTTTTTAGGTTTAAGAGAATATGTTATGTATTCATTTCTACTTAGTAATTGTAACCCTTATTACAATTTAGCACAATTCAAGGTCGAATTGATCAAGTCAACCAAGTCTTAGAGTTGGACAAAAAGCCACAAGGTGCAGCAAGGTATAATGCCTTAGATAAATGGGCTGTCCAATTGTCAACATTACATCAGACTATAATTAACAAAATGGCATAACTCGTAAACCCTTGTCACTCAAGCTTAAAGTTGTGTCAATCAACAAAATGGCTCAACTCAACAACACCATTTTTTGGATGTGAACTGTTTGGATGGCTATCATGGCTAGAACTGTAGCTCCAGCATGCTAGAAAGTCAAATGGACAATCTTTTGTCAGCATCATTATAAAGTAATAGGCTCTACATTGTGCTGTGATCATCTAATAAAGGTGCAGTTGGTGTTTGTAATAGTTATACATTTTTTATCCATGACAGTTGATCACTTACACCCATACCTTTGCATTTCTGCTTTTTTATTTTTTGTGTACTTTTGAATTTCACTGCATTTCAACAGATCATAAAAAAGGTTTGTAAAAGCTTCAAGCTAAGTGTGTTAACATAAGCTTCAATTTTTCTATTTCTTTTACAGTAGTAATGGCTGTAAGAAATATTTGTCTCCTGTGTGGTTTTTGTGATCTAAAATACTTGTTGCAGTTATGAAGTGGAAGACAAATTACCCATCTATTAACTTTCATTACTAAAAAAAATAATACAAAACCATCTGCTAGTGACTCTACAGAAACATGTTACAGTTTTCTTTTAGTAGAGTATTAATATGTATCTCCTACTAAGATTATATTTCTAATCTCAAAAGTGTCATAAACTTGTAGTCTTAGGATGTTTCTGTTATGCTTCAGCAATTTAGGTATAATGCATATTGTAGTGGAATTTGCTTTTTTATAGACAGGTTAATTTTGTGAATGTTTGACATCCATCTTCTCTTAATTCATTTGAAACAGAATAAAATAGTTTATTTAAAAAAAACATAAAAGGCCTTAAAAGTGGGTTAGATAAAGTTAATTTGTTTAAATTTAATGAATTGCCTTTTTGCTGTCTTGAAAACTAACAAAAATTATGTTTGGATTAGTGATGTAAGGGTCTTTTGATGTGTACATTGCGGTTACTTTAGATTAGCTCGGAAGCAATTTTGTTTTATTTCTTAAATTGGAGAAAATATGTATTTATATATTCTAAGAACCTGATTTTCTTCACAAATTTTATTATTTGTGCTAAAGAAAAGGAATTGAAAAATACTTTGAAACTAAACAGGACTTGAACTAAAAGATTTTAATTTGTTATGTATCAGCTGTTTTTCATTGGCTGGATGGTGGTGTTGGCACAATTGTTATTGTTAACAAGAGTATCTTGCTACTGTTTCAAATTATACCTCATAACAAAAGATTGTTAGTGTCTTATCTCTTAAAGTAAGTTTAGAACCAATCAGAATGTTGATTTCTAAAAGTTGAGCTGTATATATCTTGTCAAATCATCAGGTCAAGCTTTTTTACAGTCTCTAAAACTTGTTTTATCAAGTTTTGTTCAATAAATGGTGCAAGCTTTTGGCTATAATTCCACTGCATGTTATAAAAAAGAGATGAATTTATTACTTACTAAAAAATAAAATATTTTTGTCATGACACTTTGTGTTTCTAAACTTCCACTAGAATTCATTGTTATGTATACTCAGCAACTTAAAGGATTGTGAATAATTTATTTAATTACCATGCTCAGTCTTTTGCAAGTAGTATCATTAGCTTTAGCTGTGATCATTATATCCTGGTATTCCATAGTTTTAAATTACTGTACCCATTGCCATTTGTTATTATATAGTTCTAATTTACTTGGCATTACCTTCTGTTATTGTACAATTCCAATTTACTATAATGGTTACACTCTGATACTGTTTAGTTTGAGTTTATTATGCCCTTTGCCCTCTGATATCACTTAGTTTCACCCTACTGCATTGGTCTCTGGTACAGTATATCTAGTTTACTGTGCTCATCACTTTCTTTTACTGTATAGTTCTAGTTTACTGTGCTCATCACTTTATTCTACAGTATAGTTCTACTTTACTGTGCTCATCACTTTCTATTACTGTATAGTTCTCCTTTACTGTGCTCTTCACTTTCTTTTACTGTATAGTTCTAGTTTACTGTGCCCATCACTTTCTTCTACAGTATAGTTCTACTTTACTGTGCTCATCACTTTCTTCTACTGTATAGTTTTACTTTACTGTGCTCATCACTTTCTTCTACTGTATAGTTCTAGTTTACTGTGCTCATCACTTTCTATTACTGTATAGTTCTAGTTTACTGTGCTCATCACTTTCTTCTACTGTATACTTCTAGTTTACTGTGCACATCACTTTCTTCTACTGTATAGTTCTACTTTACTGTGCTCATCACTTTCTTCTGCTGTATACTTGTAGTTTACTGTGCACATCACTTTCTTCTACAGTATAGTTCTAGTTTACTGTGCTCATCACTTTCTTCTACTGTATACTTCTAGTTTACTGTGCTCATCACTTTCTTCTACTGTATAGTTCTACTTTACTGTGCTCATCACTTTCTTCTACAGTATAGTTCTACTTTACTGTGCCCATCACTTTTTTCTACAGTATAGTTCTAGTTTACTGTGCCCATCACTCTCTTCTACTGTATACTTCTAGTTTACTGTGCACATCACTTTCTTCTACTGTATAGTTCTACTTTACTGTGCTCATCACTTTCTTCTACAGTATAGTTCTACTTTACTGTGCTCATCACTTTCTTCTACAGTATAGTTCTAGTTTACTGTGCTCATCACTTTCTTCTACTGTATACTTCTAGTTTACTGTGCTCATCACTTTCTTCTACTGTATACTTCTAGTTTACTGTGCTCATCACTTTCTTCTACTGTATACTTCTAGTTTACTGTGCACATCACTTTCTTCTACTGTATAGTTCTACTTTACTGTGCTCATCACTTTCGTTTACTGTATAGTTCTAGTTTACTGTGCCCATCACTTTTTTCTACAGTATAGTTCTAGTTTACTGTGCCCGTAACTTTCTTCTACTGTATAGCTCTAGTTTGCTGTTCACTTTGCCCAATGGAATTGTATAGTTTTAGTTTACCCTGTATAGCTTCAGTTATTATGCTCATTACCCTTTTGTACCACTGAGTTTCACTTTACTGTGCTTTATGCCCTCTCATTGTGTATGGTTATAATTTACTGTAATCGTCACTTTTTGTTACATGTTTCCAGGTAACATATTTGTTGCCTTTGGGCACTGTCCAGTATGTATTTGCTGTACTATTTACACTATGGTATTGCATAATTCCAGTTTACTATGCTCATTGCCCACTGGTACTTTATTTTGTTCCAACTAACTGCAGCCATTGCTTTGTGGTACAGTATAATTTTCCATTTGCCTTTTTTATTGCAAGTTAGCATTTACATAGTTCCAGTTTACTGTGCTCTTTACCCTCTAATAAATACTGTGTAGTTCTAATTAATTAATATATATATATATGTATGTATGTGCATTGTCCTTTTGAATAATACATCTGTGAGTTAAGTAATATGACATGATGTAAGACTACATCAACACAAAATATTGTGATTTTAAAAATGGCATATAATTAAATTTTTAAAATGTAAAACTGGCCTTGCAAAAAGTTCTAAAACTTTATCAGATGTTATAACGCAGGATAATCATTTTTAATATTTGTTTTTGGAGCTGCTGTCACAAAATAATATTAAAAGATTTCAAAATATCTGTCATTTCAGTATCTTTGTAGAATTTTTAAATATTTTGTATATCAGTAATAATTGTAAAGACTCTGGCATTTTTTGAATTAAGTCAATAGCAAATGTAGGTATAATGTGATTGTAATAGTTTTAAAAGTCTGAAAACATTTACTGGTATGTATAATAGCTTTTAATTATTTACAATAAAATTATGTGAGGCATGAATTTTTAGTATGGAGTACTTTATACAAAAGATTTAAGTTTATATGATGTTTTTGTTACAAACAGAAATAATTTGTGGAGGTGCAGATTGGACTTACTGTGAGGAAACAACCACAAACATAAAAAAATATTTCAGTTCAGTGAACAGTTCATTTTAACTTATCTTTGGCTGCATTTTGCTACTTTGACTAGTTAATGTCTTAGAAATAAAATTTGCTTCTGAAGAAGTACAGAAAACTTTTTTAACAGTTTCTAAGATTTCTGCATTTGGTTGTTGATTGTTTCTTAATTCAAACAAATCTTATACATACTGTATGAATTTTTTTTAATTGTCACCATATCAAATGTCAGCACAAATTTAAGTGAAATTGCTTTTTGTAAAGCCAGAAACTTTTGGTTCTGTTTGTTCCTTTTCAAAATAAGTATTTGAACTACTTCATCTTGTAATTATACAGATTTAAGTAAGGTATTTCGTCAAATTGAATTCAGTAAACATCAGTTATCTAATATTTGATTTTTACTTTAAGTGAAGATTAAAGAACATGTCAATCAAGTTTTGTTTCATCAGCCCTGTGTTTCAGATAACCACCTATTTTACCTTGTTATGGACATACATCCTCATCTAATCAAAGTATCATAGTAATTAAGGAAGTATGTGCAAGTGGTTTGTGTAAATAAGGTCGTTATAAGATACTATTTCTTATTTCAATCTGATTATTTAAAAGAATTGCTTCCACCTTTTCTTTTAGTGAACATGTCACACTAAACAGCTAAACTTACAAAACATGTTGCCAGACTACCACAGCATTCTGTTTATGGGCAACCATCATTTTCTGAATCAGTTTCATGATTTTAAGTAAAAGATCCTCAGTACTTGCATGATTTTTGCTCACACATTCTTGAAGGGTTTTAGAAGTTTGTTTCTTGAGTGAAAGAAGATCATGTTTCGTGTGAAGAATATGTAAAGGGATTTAGAAGTTTATTTCCGAGTGAAAGAAGATCATGTTTCGTGTGAAGAATATGTAAAGGGATTTAGAAATTACTGATTT